TCCGCAGTGGCTTCACGATGGCTAGCCTTAAAGCACAGAAACCCTCCCAAGCACCGAAAGCCCGACACTTGCAAGCCTTCAGCTTTGAATTCTTCCCACCCATCGCGGCCCTCGCCCCGTCTCTGCACCCGGACAAGCCGGGAAGCGAATACATCCAATGCCCGTCAAGCGAGGGAGAGCTACCCAAATCTGCATATGGATCTGTCTTGCCGGATTTGTCGGAAGTCTCCATAGGGTCGAAGGCGCCGACCTAACCGTCAGCTTCAGTCTTACTTTGGAAAGTGCCTACAGTAAATGCTCTCCAGCATGCAAACATGGCATGCCGACTCGGCTCCGCAATTTCGGGTGGTACCGTCGCCACTGTTTGGGCATTCATGGTTGTGGACAACAGTCGTACACGGATATTTCGGGATGTGGGTGAACGGGTCGGGCAACTTGGCTTGCTACGGTGACCTTGCACTCCGGCACCGCACTGCAAAAACTTCAGACACCAGCGCACCGTTGCTAGGGCTTTCGGTTGCAAGTTCTGAGTTCAGCTGCCGGGTCGGCGGATGCAGCTGCTGGCGCTGCTGCAGCAGCAGCGGCTGGTGCAGCCGTGGCAGTCGTGCCTAGCTCCGACAAGTCACACGTAGCGAAGGCTGGGGTGTAAGCCAAGGGTCAGAACCAACGAATTGCGTAGCTTGGAACCGATTCCGACCGACGCAACACAGGCAATTGCAAAAACGTAGAAATGAAGGTTCTGCAAGGCACTCCAAGCCCAAGCATCTGAAGTCTACACAGAGCGCCTCTGTTGTGTGCAGTGAAGCTTTGACCGGGGTGAAGCTCAACGATTTTCAAACGTTCGAAATCATATGCTTGGCTCGATTCCTTCTAGTGATGGTTTGTCCTGCTGCCACTCCAGAAAGCGGGAGCCTGCCGCCTCCGCAGGCGCTTTTGCCTAGCAAGCAGTGGGAAGCCATCGGAAGGTGTGAATTTGGGCATCTGAAAGATGATTGGTTCAGGGCCAAGGCAAATGTTGGTTTGAATCTCAGACTAACGATGCATGGATGCATGGATGGATGGATGGATGGATGGATGGATGGATGGACGGACGGACGGATGGATGGATGGATGGGTGGTAGGTAGTGCATGGAGGTGGATGATGGATGTCTTCATGGATGGATGGATGGATGGATGGATGGATGGATATCTGCGTGTCTGTCTGCCTATCTGTCTGTCTGTCTGTCGGTCGGTCTGTCCGTCTGTCGGTCTGTCCGTCTGTCGGTCTGTCGGTCTGTCGGTCTGTCGGTCTGTCGGTCTGTCGGTCTGTCGGTCTGTCGGTCTGTCGGTCTGTCGGTCTGTCGGTCGGTCTCTCGGTCTCTCGGTCTCTCGGTCTCTCGGTCTCTCCGTCTCTCCGTCTCTCTGTCTCTCTGTCTCTTTGTCTCTCCGTCTCTCTGTCTCCGTCTCTGTCTCTCCGTCCGTCCGTCCGTGCGTGGATGGACGGACGGACGGACCCACAGATGGATGGGTGGATATCTGCGTGTTGTATGCATATATGCGGATGCGTGTATGTATGTACAGATGTATGCATGGACCGTGTTCGTACGCATGTGCGTGTGCATGTATGTAGGTGTTTGTGCATGTATGTACGTGTTTGTGTACGTGTGCACGCACACATGCACGCACGCACAGGCAGGCAGGCAGGCAGGCAGGCAGGCAGACGGGTAGGCAAACGTAGCAGGGTAGGAGTAGTCAGGTAGGTAGGAAGGATAGGCAGGTAGGCAAGTACGTGCAGACAGGCAAGCAGGCAGGCTGTCTGTCCGGCTGCCTTCTTGTCTGTCTGTCAACCCACCTTACCTTACCTTACCTTAATTACCTTGCCTTGCCTGACCTATCTAGACACATGTACGCAAATACGCAAACATAGCACCCCTTGTTATCCTTGTTCCCCTATGAATCCGTCCATCTGTTCGTCGGCTCATCTCCATGCGGCACGCAAGCGTTAGCAGAGCCGATGCCCAAGTGCAGGAGCCTGTCCCGGCGCTGAGGCGAAGTCGCCCCAATCGTCTGGCCAGTCTACTCTCTTGCTGAGGTGTCGAAGCTTCAGGTTACCAGGTTGGGCCACATGCCTAGAGTTGAAGGTTAAGGTTCGAACCCCAGATGCCATCACTTTGTCAGATTCGGCTCAATGTCGCATCGTCTCGGACTCTTCTAATACAAGAATCGGTGTGGCTTGAGCTGTTCTGCGTCCGTCAAGGGTCTCACAGTTTATCAGGTTTTGGCTTGAGGTCGAGAGGTATTGAGGTTGACTACACAAGTTCGCAGCAACACTGCCTCTTTGGCTGACTGTGGTGCAGAGCCTTGACCTTGCGCCCCTGGGCCGCTTAAGACGCACAGCTCCAACAAGATCAAGATCTGATCTGAACATCCTGTACTACATCGAACACCTTGGACCTTAAACCCCAGACTCCAACCCGAAACCCTGCCCCGAAACTCACACAGCAACATTGATGATGCAGCAGAATCAAGCCACGCGCGCCATCCTCTGCGGCCTGTACCGGAGGCGTGAAACTCTTTTGCCGCTGTGTTGGGTTTAGGCCGTGCTTTCCGGATGCCGGGGTTTAGGGGTGGGCTTACAAGCCAGACAATCCGTTCAGAATCCTTGCTCCATGTCATTCTTCTGTGCCGCACAATGCAGCGCTCTAGCTTTAGAGACTCGGGCTTATCTAAGACTCAGGGTAACCCTTTGCAACCTTGATTGCAGTGCTAAAGATGCGATCATGCTCATTCTTATTCTGAGCCTTTCGGCCTTCGGATCCGGCCCTTTTTTTCAAAGGACCTGAGATTCGCAAGTCCTGATTCTCAACCTCCATGACTAACATTTGCGGAACATTCAAAGTGGGGACCAATAGTTTCGAGTGATTGACATGGCAATCGTGCAAGCTTTGGCCTTCGACCCTCATTGCAACGAAACTGCAGAGGCTTCAACGACGAAGCAGCTGTACATTTGGGTGCCGTATGCGAGCTGTCATTCAGCAGACGTAACTCTACGTGACCATACATCTTTGCTATGCATTTCAACTACACTACCTGCGATAACCATGACGATGCTTATCTTACAGTTCTGCCTTCTCTGCCGCCGGCGCAGATGCTGCCGAGGGCGCCGTCGCTGGCGCCGCTGCTGCCGCATAGCCACCAGCGGGCGGGGCCTGCAAAAGCTGTCGGTTCGGAATGTATTCGGTGTTAGGGACTATGGGTTTGGGGCTTGGGCTCGTCCTCGCACTTCGAGGACGGCCATGAGCCACGGAGCAAACCCAGGTTGAACTACTTGGAAACCCAGGCCATAAGAGCAGGCCAGGGTAAGCGGCAGACGGGCCGGCTGGCTGGAAACTCTGGCCAACCACATGCCGAGTTCGAAATAGCTGACTTACTGCAAATAACGCAAAGCCCTGGAGCACAGACGACAAACCTCAGGAGCATGGACATATCTGAGATGAAGCAGACGCGACCTTGCTCTTGCCGAAGGTGTGATCGCTCCTTTCACTTAATCCGACCTCTTCACGCAAACCATTGCAACAGTCTCTCCCACCAAGCAATTGCCCCAGGCCTCCACCCCCGGTGTGGAACCTGGCTCACTGAGGTCCAAGAGGTCTGCCATGCCAAATCCTCGGCAGAGGAAGGCTTTCGAGACTTCAAAGGCCGCTGGGCAGATCTCTCACTGCACTCGCAAGTTCACTAGAAGTCGGCCTAGGCGCCGGGCCCCTGTCAGAGGCCTAGGCCCCTGCCCCCCACTGAGCCAACGTTGCTTGACAGGCTGAAGTTGAGGCTTTGGGACTATGTTTGATCGCTTCGGCGTAAGGTCCGAAAAGGACAAGATATCCAGCAATACCCGGGGCTTTCGACTTTCGATTGCAGGGGCAGGGCGGTGCTCATGCGGGATGATGGTGGCAGGAGTTGAGGCCAGCACGTTTGTACTTCCAGTACAGACAGATACAGACGGCTTCACTTCTAGACATACACCTAGCTTGGTACCTGCTCTCGCAAAACCCCGAGGATGAAGTCCTTTAGGGCTGCAAATAGCCTTCCGCACATCACGGTGGCTCAAACCGGCAATCTGAGCCTACATGTGCTGCCTGGTCCCTTGCACAAGTTTGATTCACCTGAGGCGCGAAATCACAACGCCAACAGTGATAACGCGAGCTGTACAGAAAACTGAGCGCCTGAAAAGCTTGCTCAGCGCAGCTAAGTACTGGCTTCGAGGTGCCGGAAGCTCGGAAGAGCCGGAAAAGCGACAGACCTTCCGCTTGCCAGCATGGCTGCAAGCTCTGTAACCGCTGGTGCACTGACATTTGCCAGTCCCAAGCCGGCTCTATGCTCTCGAGGCTTCACACTCCGTACGAACGCAGCTTAGAGACAATCGTCCAAAACAAATCACTAGCAGAGTGGACTAGAAGCGTCCTATAGAGGTTCAATGCCTGGTGCTGGGCCCCTACGGGCCTGTGGCCTGGCCTTGTCTCGGACGGCATGCTTCAGCATTGAATCAGCGCACTGACGGCATTTCAAAACCAGCTGCACTCGAGAAGATTTGGGGACTCTGGCATGCAAACGACGCAAAGCAAAGCAACCACTGAACCCCACGAATGCTGCTAGGAGACACCGAAAGGTCATCGCACGTAAGCTTGCCGACCAAAATCTTTGCTGAATCGCTCCAAGTTTGGATCCGATGAGATGCAGGACTTCCGAAAATCCCAGTTTGCAGTGCTTTCCAGACTTGGGGAGAATCCCCAAAAAATACTTTTCTTCGTGCAGGCACCGGGTGGAGGCTGCAGACCCTATTAGGTGATTGTGTTCTTGAACAACAATGAAAAAGGCTTGGAATTCTGCCACCCAGACCAAAGCCTGCACGTCGAACTTGCTAGTTTGCGATCCCAACCTACGTGTCTCAAAAGGAAGTCTGTCTGCTAAAAGCCTATCTCAACAAAAATCTTCTGCCACGTCGAGTCATCCCCCTGGAGCCGGCTTCAGCAGACCTCCTTCGAAAGGTGGCGCAGATCCAGGCCTTGGGCACACGGGATTTTTATCGGGCACAAGGTGGGCATTTAACGACGTAAAAGAGCTTCTGCACGGTGCTGCTTTGCATGCTAGGCGAATGCACCTGCGATCGCGATGATGCTATCCAGCTTGCATGAAACTTCCGCTTGTTGCCACTCGCTGACTTCCGAGGAGGCGGATGCAGGTCTCGTGCGCTCTCTGCCAGGAAAGGGCAGTATCGTAACACGATGCTTCGATTGCTGATAATGTCCTCACAGTGATTGATGTGGACCAAATATGAGAACAAAGCAGCGGGTGATTTTTCGGTTTCGGACTCTGTATCGCACAATTCGCCGTCTGAACTTTGTGGCTGCTTTTGCGATGGTCCTGTCATCTTTGCCGTGTCTTTCTATCCGAAGTGTGAAGCCTACAATGCCTCAAACCCTGAAGCTCTGAGCCCTTGAACCCCCAGTGCGCCTGTTCCCCAGGCCCTTCAACCCGAAGATCCCGGAGCCCAAACCTTTCCTCCCAAGGGCCCCCTGAGCTGTCCGACGCCTCGCTTTCGGAATCATCGCCTGAGAGGAAGCCTCAAGGACTTGACTTCAGCTAGTTAGGATGTTGAGGCTTTGGGGTTGGTACGGTTAGGGCAGAGGGTCTAGGGTGCTTGGAGTGTTTCGGTTTCAGGGTTGAGAAAGCAAAAAAGCCCCTGTAAGATTCAGCACTTAGGATCCAGTCCAGGGTTCAGGAAGCTTGTTTCGGTACTCGGAGGATTCCAAAAACCCGCAATCTTTGGGTGAGGATGTGCTTGTAAGAGTTGGTGGGCGGCTTAGAAAACTCCGAGTCCTGGAGTCGGTATTGCTAGATTCGATAGATTCGACAAGTTTCACAAGTGAAGCCGTGCACAGTCTCGCGAGACATGGACCGGGCCTGGTGTGACCAGGCGGTGGGGCGAGGCCATGCTGCGTGCACGACAGAGTACAACCGACTCAAGTTGACCTACACAAATGGCGCAGTATCAAGAAAGAGAAGCAGCCTGCTGTTGCTGCAGGTTTTCCTACAATAGTCTGAAATTCTCCTGTCTTGCTGCGACCCAGCTTCTCCAGATGTTCTAAACATGAGTCAAATTCATCAAGGGCGGCACTGGCAGAGTTCACCTTGCTCTTGGTGACCGTGGCCGTGGCCTGATCGTGACACGAGTGATGACGGGAGTTGTGTTCCTGGCACATCCGCAAGCCAAGACTGAAGAACCCGGATGCACACTCCAAACCAACATGACACTGGTTGCAGCCGCCAGTTTGCGATGTCATGCAATGCATGATACTGCATGACGCATGCCATACCGAGGGTGGACCACTCCACTCCTTCCATATCCCTGCACTTCAACAACTCACACTGGCACTGTCCTACCAACAGCAGCTACCCCGTCACGACATATGATCTACTTGCGGGCACACAGCTAGCAAAGTCTATCGTGCGGACTTTCAGGCTCGAGGCTGAGGGACCTTTGCTTTAAACCCTCGCCGCTCCAAGGTCAAGGCATTGGGTTGGGAGACATGCGGCCTTCAGTCCAGGCTTCGGGTGCCAGGTTGGACTACTCGTGCTTTGTCCCTAGCCTGTTTGCATTCTGGCTGTGTGGCTTTGCCCCTTTCCTGTTTGCAGCGCTTGCTGTGTGGCCTTGGCCCCATCCTGTTTGCAGCGCTGGCTGCGTGGCTTTGCCCCTATCCTGTTTGCAGCCCTGGCTGTGTGGCTTTGCCCCTATCCTGTTTGCAGCGCTTGCTGTGTGGCCTTGGCCCTATCCTGTTTGCAGCGCTGGCTGCGTGGCTTTGCCCCTATCCTGTTTGCAGCCCTGGCTGTGTGGCTTTGCCCCTATCCTGTTTGCAGCGCTTGCTGTGTGGCCTTGGCCCCATCCTGTTTGCAGCGCTGGCTGTGTGGCTTTGCCCCTATCCTGTTTGCAGCCCTGGCTGTGTGGCTTTGCCCCTTTCCTGTTTGCAGCGCTTGCTGTGTGGCCTTGGCCCCATCCTGTTTGCAGCGCTGGCTGCGTGGCTTTGCCCCTATCCTGTTTGCAGCCCTGGCTGTGTGGCTTTGCCCCTTTCCTGTTTGCAGCGCTTGCTGTGTGGCCTTGGCCCCATCCTGTTTGCAGCGCTGGCTGCGTGGCTTTGCCCCTATCCTGTTTGCAGCCCTGGCTGTGTGGCTTTGCCCCTTTCCTGTTTGCAGCGCTTGCTGTGTGGCCTTGGCCCCATCCTGTTTGCAGCGCTGGCTGCGTGGCTTTGCCCCTATCCTGTTTGCAGCCCTGGCTGTGTGGCTTTGCCCCTTTCCTGTTTGCAGCGCTTGCTGTGTGGCCTTGGCCCCATCCTGTTTGCAGCGCTGGCTGCGTGGCTTTGCCCCTATCCTGTTTGCAGCCCTGGCTGTGTGGCTTTGCCCCTTTCCTGTTTGCAGCGCTTGCTGTGTGGCCTTGGCCCCATCCTGTTTGCAGCGCTGGCTGCGTGGCTTTGCCCCTATCCTGTTTGCAGCCCTGGCTGTGTGGCTTTGCCCCTTTCCTGTTTGCAGCGCTTGCTGTGTGGCCTTGGCCCCATCCTGTTTGCAGCGCTGGCTGCGTGGCTTTGCCCCTAGCCTGTTTGCAGCCCTGGCTGTGTGGCTTTGCCCCTTTCCTGTTTGCAGTGCTTGCTGTGTGGCCTTGGCCCCATCCTGTTTGCAGCGCTGGCTGTGTGGCTTTGCCCCTATCCTGTTTGCAACCCTGGCTGTGTGGCTTTGCCCCTTTCCTGTTTGCAGCGCTTGCTGTGTGGCCTTGGCCCCATCCTGTTTGCAGCGCTGGCTGCGTGGCTTTGCCCCTAGCCTGTTTGCAGCCCTGGCTGTGTGGCTTTGCCCCTTTCCTGTTTGCAGCGCTTGCTGTGTGGCCTTGGCCCCATCCTGTTTGCAGCACTGGCTGCGTGGCTTTGCCCCTATCCTGTTTGCAGCCCTGGCTGTGTGGTTTTGGCCCTTTCCTGTTTGCAGCGCTTGCTGTGTGGCCCCTCCTGTTTGCAGCGCTGGCTGCTGGCTTTGCCCCTATCCTGTTGGCTGTGTGGCTTTGCCCCTTCCTGTTTGCAGCCTGCTGTGTGGCTTTGCCCCTATCCTGTGCAGCGCTTGCTGTGTGGCCTTGGCCCCATCCTGTTTGCAGCTGGCTGCGTGGCTTTGCCCCTATCCTGTTTGCAGCCCTGGCTGTGTGGCTTTGCCCCTATCCTGTTTGCAGCGCTTGCTGTGTGGCTTGGCCCCATCCTGTTTGCAGCGCTGGCTGTGTGGCTTTGCCCTATCCTGTTTGCAGCCCTGGCTGTGTGGCTTTGCCCCTATCCTGTTTGCAGCGCTTGCTGTGTGGCCTTGGCCACATCCTGTTTGCAGCGCTGGCTGCGTGGCTTTGCCCCTATCCTGTTTGCAGCCCTGGCTGTGTGGCTTTGCCCCTATCCTGTTCGCAGCGCTTGCTGTGTGGCCTTGGCCCCATCCTGTTTGCAGCGCTGGCTGCGTGGCTTTGCCCCTATCCTGTTTGCAGCCCTGGCTGTGTGGCTTTGCCCCCATCCTGTTTGCAGCGCTTGCTGTGTGGCCTTGGCCCCATCCTGTTTGCAGCGCTGGCTGTGTGGCTTTGCCCCTACTGTATCCTGTTTGCAGCGCTTGATGTGTGGCCTTGGCCCCATCCTGTTTGCAGCCCTGGCTGCGTGGCTTTGCCCCTATCCTGTTTGCAGCCCTGGCTGTGTGGCTTTGTCCCTATCCTGTTTGCAGCGCTTGCTGTGTGGCCTTGGCCCCATCCTGTTTGCAGCGCTGGCTGCGTGGCTTTGCCCCTATCCTGTTTGCAGCCCCGGCTGTGTGGCTTTGCCCCTATCCTGTTTGCAGCCCTGGCTGTGTGGCTTTGCCCCTATCCCGTTTGCAGCGCTTGCTGTGTGGCCTTGGCCCCATCCTGTTTGCAGCCCTGGCTGTGTGGCTTTGCCCCTATCCTGTTTGCAGCCCTGGCTGTGTGGCTTTGCCCCGTTCCTGTTTGCAGCGCTTGGTGTGTGGCCTTGGCCCCATCCTGTTTGCAGCGCTGGCTGCGTGGCTTTGCCCCTATCCTGTTTGCAGCCCTGGCTGTGTGGCTGTGTGGCCTTGGCCCCATCCTGTTTGCAGCGCTGGCTGCGTGGCTTTGGCCCTATCCTGTTTGCAGCCCTGGCTGCGTGGCTTTGCCCCTTTCCTGTTTGCAGCGCTTGCTGTGTGGCCTTGGCCCCATCCTGTTTGCAGCGCTGGCTGCGTGGCTTTGCCCCTATCCTGTTTGCAGCCCTGGCTGTGTGGCTTTGCCCCTATCCTGTTTGCAGCGCTTGCTGTGTGGCCTTGGCCCCATGCGCTGGCTGCGTGGCTTTGCCCCTATCCTGTTTGCAGCCCTGGCTGTGTGGCTTTGCCCCTATCCTGTTCGCAGTGCTTGCTGTGTGGCCTTGGCCCGATCCTGTTTGCAGCGCTGGCTGCGTGGCTTTGCCCCTATCCTGTTTGCAGCCCTGGCTGTGTGGCTTTGCCCCTATCCTGTTTGCAGCGCTTGCTGTGTGGCCTTGGCCCCATCCTGTTTGCAGCGCTGGCTGCGTGGCTTTGCCCCTATCCTGTTTGCAGCCCTGGCTGTGTGGCTTTGCCCCTATCCTGTTTGCAGCGCTTGCTGTGTGGCCTTGGCCCGATCCCGTTTGCAGCGCTGGCTGCGTGGCTGTGCCCCTATCCTGTTTGCAGCCCTGGCTGTGTGGCTTTGCCCCTATCGTGATTTGCAGCGCTTGCTGTGCGGCCTTGGCCCTATCCTGTTTGCAGCGCTGGCTGCGTGGCTTTGCCCCTATCCTGTTTGCAGCCCTGGCTGTGTGGCTTTGCCCCTATCCTGTTTGCAGCGCTTGCTGTGTGGCCTTGGCCCCATCCTGTTTGCAGCGCTGGCTGCGTGGCTTTGCCCCTATCCTGTTTGCAGCCCTGGCTGTGCGGCTTTGCCCCTATCCTGTTTGCAGCGCTTGCTGTTTGGCCATGGCCCTATCCTGTTTGCAGCGCTGGCTGCGTGGCTTTGCCCCTATCCTGTTTGCAGCCCTGGCTGTGTGGCTTTGCCCCTATCCTGCTTGCTGTGTGGCCTTGGCCCCATCCTGTTTGCAGCGCTGGCTGCGTGGCTTTGCCCCTATCCTGTTTGCAGCCCTGGCTGTGTGGCTTTGCCCCTATCCTGTTTGCAGCGCTTGCTGTGTGGCCTTGACCCTATCCTGTTTGCAGCCCTTATCCTGTTTGCAGCCCTGGCTGTGTGGCTTTGCCCCTATCCTGTTTGCAGCGCTTGCTGTGTGGCCTTGGCCCCATCCTGTTTGCAGCGCTGGCTGCGTGGCTTTGCCCCTATCCTGTTTGCAGCCCTGGCTGCGTGGCTTTGCCCCTATCCTGTTTGCAGCGCTTGCTGTGTGGCCTTGGCCCTATCCGATCCCGTTTGCAGCGCTGGCTGCGTGGCTGTGCCCCTATCCTGTTTGCAGCCCTGGCTGTGTGGCTTTGCCGCTATCCTGTTTGCAGCGCTGGCTGCGTGGCTTTGCCCCTGTTTGCAGCGCTGGCTGTGTGGCTTTGCCCCTATCCTGTTTGCAGCCCTGGCTGTGTGGCTTTGCCCCTATCCTGTTTGCAGCGCTTGCTGTGTGGCCTTGGCCCTATCCTGTTTGCAGCGCTGGCTGCGTGGCTTTGCCCCTATCCTGTTTGCAGCCCTGGCTGTGTGGCTTTGCCCCTATCCTGTTTGCAGCGCTTGCTGTGTGGCCTTGGCCCTATCCTGTTTGCAGCGCTGGCTGCGTGGCTTTGCCCCTATCCTGTTTGCAGCCCTGGCTGTGTGGCTTTGCCCCTATCCTGTTTGCAGCGCTGGCTGCGTGGCTTTGCCCCTGTTTGCAGCGCTGGCTGTGTGGCTTTGCCCCTATCCTGTTTGCAGCCCTGGCTGTGTGGCTTTGCCCCTATCCTGTTTGCAGGGCTTGCTGTGTGGCCTTGGCCCTATCCTGTTTGCAGCGCTGGCTGCGTGGCTTTGCCCCTATCCTGTTTGCAGCCCTGGCTGTGTGGCTTTGCCCCTATCCTGTTTGCAGCGCTGGCTGCGTGGCTTTGCCCCTGTTTGCAGCGCTGGCTGTGTGGCTTTGCCCCTACTATCCTGTTTGCAGCCCTGGCTGTGTGGCTTTGCCCCTATCCTGTTTGCAGCGCTTGCTGTGTGGCCTTGGCCCTATCCTGTTTGCAGCGCTGGCTGCGTGGCTTTGCCCCTATCCTGTTTGCAGCCCTGGCTGTGTGGCTTTGCCCCTATCCTGTTTGCAGCGCTTGCTGTGTGGCTTTGCCCCTATCCATTGTGCAGCGCTGGCTGCGTGGCTTTGCCCCTTTCCTGCGTGCAGCACTGGCTGTGTGGTTTTGCCCTTATCCTGTGTGCAGCGCTGGCTGCGTGGCTTTGCCCCTATCCTGTGTGCAGCGCTGGCTTGCCCCTATCCTGTTTGCAGCGCTTGCTGTGTGGCCTTGGCCCCATCCTGTTTGCAGCGCTGGCTGCGTGGCTTTGCCCCTATCCTGTGTGCAGCCATGGCTGCGTGGCTTTGCCCCTATCCTGTGTGCAGCGCTGGCTGTGTGACTTTGACACTATCCTGTGTGCAGCGCTGGCTGTGTGGCTTTGCATCACTGGCTGCGTGGCTTTGCCCCTAAATCCTGTGTGCAGCGCGTCTGTGTGGCTTTGCCCCTTTCCTGTTTGCGCTGGCTGCGTGGCTTTGCCCCTATCCTGTTTGCAGCGCTGGCTGCGTGGCTTTGCCCCTATCTTGTTTGCAGCGCTTGCTGCGTGGCTTTGCCCCTATCCTGTTTGCTGCGCTGGCTGCGTTTCTTTGCCCCTATCCTGTGTTCAGCGCTGGCTGTGTGGCTTTGCAACTATCCTGTGTGCAGTGCTGGCTGTGTGGCTTTGCCGCTATCCTGTGTGCAGCGCTGGCTGCGTGGCTTTGCCCCTATATCCTGTGTGCAGCGCTGGCTGTGTGGCTTTGCCCCTATCCTGTGTGCAGCGCTGGCTGCGTGGCTTTGCCCCTATCCTGTGTGCAGCACTGGCTGCGTGGCTTTGCCCCTATCCTGTGTGCAGCGCTGGCTGTGTGGCTTTGCCCCTATCCTGTGTGCAGTGCTGGCTGCGTGGCTTTGCCACTGTTTGCAGCGCTGGCTGTGTGGCTTTGCCCCTATCCTGTTTGCAGCACTGGCTGTGTGGTTTTGCCCCTATCCTGTTTGCAGCGCTTGCTGCGTGGCTTTGCCCCTATCCTGTTTGCAGCGCTGGCTGCGTGGCTTTGCCCCTATCCTGTTTGCAACGCTGGCTGTGTGGTTTTGCCCCTATCCTGTGTACAGCGCTGGCTGTGTGGCTTTGCCCCTATGTTTGCAGCGCTGGCTGTGTGGCCTTGGCCCCATCCTGTTTGCAGCCCTGGCTGTGTGGCTTTGCCCCTACTATCCTGTTTGCAGCCCTGGCTGTGTGGCTTTGCCCCTATCCTGTTTGCAGCGCTGGCTGCGTGGCTTTGCCCCTATCCTGTGTGCAGCGATTGCTGTGTGGCTTTGCCCCTATCCTGTGTGCAGCGCTGGCTATGTGGCTTTGCCCCTATCCTGTTTGCAGCGCTGGCTGTGTGGCTTTGCCCTTATCCTCTTTGCAGCGCTTGCTGCGTGGCTTTGCCCCTATCCTGTTTGCAGCGCTGGCTGCGTGGCTTTGCCCCTTTCCTGTTTGCAGCGCTGGCAGTGTGGCTCTGCCCCTATCGTTTTTGCAGCGCTGGCTGTGTGGCTTTGCCCCTATCCTGTGTGCAGCGCTGGCTGTGTGGCTTTGCCCTTATCCTGTGTGCAACGCTTGCTGCGTGGCTTTGCCCCTATACTGTTTGCAGCACTAGCTGTGTGGCTTTGCCCCTATCCTGTTTGCAGCGCTTGCTGCGTGGTTTTGCCCCTATCCTGTTTGCAGCGCTGGCTGTGTGGTTTTGCCCCTATCCTGTGTGCAGCGCTTGCTGTGTGGCTTTGCCCCTATCCTGTTTATAGCGCTTGCTGTTGTCCCTGTCATGTTTAAAGCACTTGCTGTGTGGCTTTGCTCCTATCCACCCTATCCTGTTTGCAGCGCTTGCTTTGTGGCTTTGCCCTTACACTGCTTACAGCACTGGCTGTGTCGTTTTGCGCCGATCCTGTTTGCAGCGCTTTCTGTGTGTCTTTGCCCTTATCTTGTTTACGGCGCTTGCTGTGTGGCTTTGCCCCTATCCGTATCCTGTGTGGTGCCCCTATCCGTATCCTGTTTACAGCGCTTGCTGTGTGGCTTTGCCCCTATCCTGTTTACAGCGCTTGCTTTGCGGCTTTGCCCCTATCCTGTTTGCAGCGCTCGCTGTGTGGCTTCGCCCCTATCCTGTTTACACGGCTTGCCGTGAAGCTTTGCACCTATCTTGTTTACCGCGCTTGCTGTGTTTTTTAGCCCCTATCCTGTTTACAGCGCTTGCTGTTTGGCTTTGCCCCTATCCTGTGTGCAGCGCTGGCTGTGTGGTTTTGCCCCTATCCTGTGCGCGGCGCTTGCTGCGTGGCTTTGCCCCTATCCTGTTTGCAGCGCTTGCTGTGCGACTTTGCCCCTATCCTGTTTGCAGTGCTTGCTGCGTGGCTTTGCCCCTATCCTGTTTGCAGCGCTTGCTGTGTGGCTTTGCCCCGATCTTGTTTACCACACTTGCTGTGTTTTTTCTGCCCCTATCCTGCTTACAGCTCTTGCTGTGTGGCTTTGTCCCTATCCTGCTTACAGCGCTTGCTGTGCGGCTTGGCCCCTATCCTGCTTACGGCGCTTGCTGTGTGGCTTTGCCCCTATCTACTCGTCCTTGGCAGAATCTGCCTGTAGAACTAAGTCCAAGCTGGAAGAAGAGTCTTAGCCGATGCAAGCGGCTGGTCACAATGCTTGAATGGCTCCGACATGTCTACAATCGGAGATAAACCGTGAAGCAGAGCTGCAAAGAAAGGCGCCCGGATCGAGCAGACACATGCAAGGCTTCGGCCTGTGTTTAAGAGAATCGAGCCCGAGCCTGCTTGTGCCGGAGCTCGAGGTCCGGGTTCGCCGCAGTGTGTACGACTGCCTCTTCCTTCGGCGTCTCCTGCGGCCTGGCTTCATGCTCTCTCCGTGACAATCTGCTTCCAATTTCCATCCTATCTTCTTCCTCCGGGGCGATGACGACGACTACAGCCAGCACACGCAACAGCTAGTATCATCTAATGCTAGTACCAAAAGAGCAGCAACTACACTACTACAACAAACGATGGCGAATCTCAAGACTTCGCATTGCGACTGCACACATTTCGACCAGCTGAAAGCCTCACAACGAGGGTGGGCTTCTAGTTGTAGTAGTAATAATGGTAGTAGGAGTAGTAGTAGTAGTAGTAGTAGTAGTAGTAGTAGTAGTAGTAGCAGTAGCAGCTGTAGCAGCAGTAGCAGCAGCAGCAGTAGCAGTAGCAGTAGCAGCAGCAGTAGCAGTAGCAGTACTGTAAGAGCAAGCAGGGCAGCTGAGCAAAAGTAGTATGATGAGGATGAACATGACGTTCTTGACGATGATGTTCATGACGATGATGCAGATGACGACCGGACACGTCTCAACACCCGCCAGCCTTAGAACCTCCAGCACCGATCTCCAAAACCCGAACAGCCGTCACATCCGAATTGGAGCACCAAGCCAAAAAGATGTTCTTCTACTTCCGCCTCTCGTCTGCCGAAGTGTCCTCTGAGAGGTAGCCTCTGCAATTGTGCGCATGCATCAACGAGGCTCATTGAGGCTTGGCAGGCTCACGTGTACCGTCGATCCCCTTAAGCCCTCAAGAGTCTCCATCCTGCATCCTGCACTCTTTCCCAGGCCCCGGCTTTCAATTCTCCTTATGCCGCCAGTCTTGCGGGAGGTCGGGCTTGCTGGTTCTGCGGGTGCCTGACGCACAGTAGTACAAGCTTTCCGCGCATGATGCTTTCATGTTTCTGCACTGGTCGTGAACAGCAAGCAGCAACATGAATCCGTGTCGACGCCCCATTGCTTCATTCTTGTTGTGGCAGAGGTCGGACCGTAAACTGTCACAGGTCTTCATGCACATCATGGTGCAGGCCCCCGAGTGTTCAATCCGTACTTGTTTCCCTTAGCACCACGTCGACTCGATGTGACCTTAGTAGCGGACCTAACAATTAGCTCATGGCCCACAGCTTGCACACTGGTTGGAATTGTTTTTGCGGCCATGACAAACCTCATCTACGAACAAACCAGCTGCGGGCGCAGGTCAGGGTGCCCGATGTAGAGCCTTGCAAGACCGACTGGAGGCCTCAAGCCTAAATTGCCCTGAAATCTATGCCGAGTGCCTCCTCACCACTGCTTTCTGACAGCGGTTCTTCGTCTGAGGCCTTGGTATACTGCGGTTTGGGTCTGGGCGGTTTGGAGCTTGAGGCTTCAATTTCTTCTGGGACTGAGAACCAACTGGAGCCCACGTTTGTACTCTGTGCACCCCTGACCTAGTGTGCAATTCAAGCAAACTTCCTGGCTGCTACTTGCTTGCAAGCTGGTCTGCATCTAAGCGCCAGCCAAAGCATTCAGGGCTCGGAGGGTGGTTCGGGTCCAGAAGCAGGAGGGAGCTTCGGGTGCAGGATACAACGTCAAGCGGCAAGAAGAAAGTTCGTACCTTGACATGGCAGGCTGGAACGTCTGGCTTCCCTACTTCGATGGTTCAGCTTCCCCCTTGAAGAGGTTGCGACTTCTGGATACATGCCCATACTTGGGAGCGCTGGCTTGCACAAGAGCGGCAGGCAGCTTGTGGAATCCGTGGTCAAAGAGGCACCGACGCAATGAGAGTTTATCCCGACGGCTCTGACAGCATTGCGCTTCATCTGCCCAAGTTGATCTATTGGATGCCCGTGGACAATGCTTTGACGAGGCCTGAAGCTCGAAGATCTTGCAACACTTGGGGTCCTGAAGCCGCTACGTGAAGTGACTGTCAGCCCGAAGCACGGGCCCGGCACATCAAGGCCCAGGCCTCCGTGGCTGCCTCGACATGTTTACGGTGAGGCGTCGTTCAATTTTGCGGGGGTCAAGATTCGAAAGCCAGTCTATGGGCTTGGTGCACCTAAAATACACGCTTGCCTTGTGTATGGTTCCATCCTTCGAACCACAGGCTTAAGGTGCAGTGGCTTGAGTCCGCTAAGATCAGCTCAGGCCCTATGCCCTACCGGTCAACATTTTTCTGGTGGCAGGTCTTGCCTTGAAGGCGAACGCACGCATGCATGCTCTACGCCGAGATGCCTTTCGGCTGGCTGGCTGTATCTAACCCTTTGAAATGGGGTTGAGTAATATTGATTGCCAGTGCTGCTATCGCTGCTGCAGCTGCTGCTGCCGACCAATACCACTGCTACGACCTACTACTTACTGTTACTCCTAGTACTGACTACTACTACTACTACTACTGCTGCTACTACTACGACTACTACGACTACTACTACTACTACTACTACTACTACTACTACTACTACTACTACTACTACTACTACTACTACTACTGTTACTACTACGACGACTACTACGACTACTACCACCACTGCTGCTGCTACCACTACCACCACCACCACCACCACCACCACCACCACTACCACTACCACTACCACTACCACTACCACTACCACTACCACTACCACTACCACTACGACGACGACGACGACGACGACCACTACGACTACGACTACGACCACGACCACGACTACGACTACGACTACGACTACTACTACCACTATTTTCAATTGAACGCTGCGCGAGCGTGCTCTGCGCTTTGCGGGCGCCTTTGGTCCCGTGCACTCGTGAAACTGGTTATCTGCTAGCATTCATCGCTCATATTCCTCTCAGACTGCTCAGTTGAGTAAGACTTTACATCTATGGCTTCCTCCTCCGCCACCTTGTTGTGAACAGACGCGTCCGTCTGTGCACCTGTCCCAGCAATTAGGTCGTACTTCGGGCGAAGCCGGCGCCTAGAGTATCCGTCTTGTGGCGTCCCACACGGATTACTCATGCTGGAGACAGAAGGCCGTAAGGGTCACATGTGCGTACCTGCAGAGCTGAATGAGTCAAACAGCTGACAGCTGACTGACCATATCGGCTCAGGCGAAGCGCAGTGCTGCATTTTGCAGTGGCTAGCGCGCTGCTCTACAGCTCCCGAAGAGATTTGCAAAAGCGTCGGAAGAGCACCGAATTCCCAGAGGCTGTGCCATACGGGATTTGAGGAGTCTGTGACATTTTCTAATTGCTCCCGTACTAAAATGGGTGCTTAGCCTAAGCGCCCATATTGGGGCAAGAGCAATTCAGCACTAAGCTGGACTAAATTGTGGCGCACTAGGGAGCGGCATTCTCGCCGACGCTAAAAGTGATTGCAAGGCGTGCTGGGCCCTAGTCTGATCTTGAGAGAATCTAGCACTAGGAGCCATGTCCTTTGGGGAGAGCGCGGCAGTCTTCAAGGCGCGAGCCAAAGACATTGGGGTGTCGGATGAGAGCTTCGCGAAGCTTGAGGCGGAAGGGTTGACAACGATGGCAACTTTTTCCTTCTGTTGTCATTTCAACCCGGCTGCGACAGATGCTTGTGCTCCGGGCTCTTGGCAGTAGCAGGCGAGGCAGTCATGACGGCCAAAGGGAGCTGGGGGGAAGCTGACTAAATAAAAAGAGCTGATTGAGAGGAAGGAAATTACAGAGTGTGCATGTCCGCGTGCGCTCATGACGCACTTGGCCTTGACGTGAGGCGGCCTGCGTCAACATGAAATTGACTACAGGCTTCTCACGCACGGGCGCCCTGCTTAGCCCTGAGGGCCGAGGTTGGGCCGGCATGCATCGCCTGAAGCGATGATGCTAACGAGTTCGTTGCAAGAAAAGCATGTAGACGTTTCGGGAAAGTGATTGAACCAAGGCCGCTGAGGCCCTCTCCGGAAGCTTGTAGTCGTCGCAAATCCACACCTGAGATCTCGCATCCGCGGGGTCCAGGCTCGGTAGTGCCCGGACGCTAGGGAGTCCCCAAAGTGGGCAACTCCTGCCAGGAGTTGGTAGGATCGTTGGGCAGTGTGCTCGCTGGATGTCCACACGGACACCATGGCACGGCCGGTCCAGGCGCACGGCTGGGTATTCTTGACCCCGTCTTGCCATCTGCAAATCACAACAGCTAGGAGTTCTGGGGCCCATACCAGCGCACGACTAAAAGTTTGCGATTCCCAGAATCTTAGGCAGGCTTGGAGAGACAGAGGTCCCGTCGGAAGGGGAAGGAGAAGAGGACTGACTCCCACATCCGACTCCTCAACGATTCCCCCAGTACGACCCTGCCACTGAGTGTGCTGAAGGGATCCCATGGGCTTTTGCTGCAGATGGTGAAGAAATTCTGAGACATCGTGTTGCCTGCCATCCAGTCGCCAACCGGCAATGGCATGGCGAAATTCAAGAAGGCCGAACAAGTTCAGAAGTCTAGGGGCACTCTCATCCCCGAAATGGGTTAAGACAGATTGAAAAGCACCCAGATCATACCCAAAGCTCGATACTTGATGCAAGGCCTGGAAGAGAGCGTTAGCGTAGCAGGAGTTTGCCGTGTTAGACAGTACACGTTTGTGCAAGCCTGTAGGCTGTGGCTCTGTGTTCCTGGGGGCCTGCGTCACAGACTCCTGGTTCGAGTCTGTTGTAGGATGACGAGCTGTGCTCGACGAGTTGGAGGCTGTGCCATTCGACCTAGGTCTAAAAAAGCTGGCCAACGACTTTGTCTGAGGCTTGGGAGGCGGGGCGACGGGATCGACGTCCGCGTCAGGCTGCCCTCGCAGCCACTGCGTGCTTACCTGATAGAGCACCGGACACTGCTCCGGATGCAGTCTGCGGTCATAGACCTTGTAGCCACAGAAGGGACATGAGTGGCCCTTGGCTAACTGGGGCGAGTAGCCCTGACAGATATTAACACCCCCCCTGTGTAGGCGTGACCAGTCCTTAGGATGCGCCTGACGAAAGTGCGACTTGACTTTGGTGTGGTCAAAAGTCCAGAAGTCACACGTTAAGCACCGATGATTTAGGACCTTGGAATCCGCAGTCCTCGAGAGCTCCGCGATGCGGTGTTGTGGGAGCAGAGCAATGTCCTGTCTCAGCTGGAAGAGAGTCCTAATATCGGGATGGCTGGACTGTTTGTCTGCTTCTTTTAGTGAACGGAGCTTCTGAGGTTCCGGACATGCCCCCGAAAGCAAGTGGTCACGTAGGCCTTTCCATTGATGGAATTTACGCTTACATGCCGCACATTGCGGCATCCCATCCACAGCGTGGAGCTTTCTATCGAAGCTTGAAGGCACAAAGCGGTCAATGCTCGCCGGATGAACCCTCGACTTATGCAAATGTAGTCCATTTGCTGTCTCAAATGAAGCCGCGCAGAGCGTGCACTCGTATGAGGTTACCGGATGTTCCTCGGGCTCAGGGAGTTGTGACAGGACCAACAGCTTATCTCGGATAACCTGCAGAACCGAGGGGTCTGTCGTGATGTCCGGGCTTTGCACTGCTCGTCGCTCCAGTTTGCGAAGCCGCTTCCTTAGCTTGGACTGCAGTGCGTGGACAGGGTCCTGGATGTTGTAGAGCTGGAAGAGATCCTTAGTGGTGATCCGAGTGGTGTGAGCCGGCAGGTTCAGCACCGATCGTACCTTGTAGGCGTGCCAGCTGCGAAGCTGTTTGGCCGACTCTTCGCTTAAACCGACGTCAGATAGGCCAGTCGTCAAGGTGCTCAGGACAGTACTCTGCCACACCTTAAGGCGCGACATGGTACTTGCATACCTGCGGTTGTAGACGAATTTGCGAACTTGATGCAACTTTTGCTTCGCCTCCCCCATCCAAAAATGCAGAGTCTGCAACTCGAAGTGGTTGTAGGAGATCATAACTCCTAAGTACTTGCTTGAGGAGACCCACTGGAAGGCAGGGAACGACTTGTTGGGCCCAATGCGCCACCCTCTGACTGGCTCTCCTTTGGGGTTGGTAATCCAGCAGCTGTGTTTGTTCATCACATTTTTTGCTTCTCTACCTGCCAGCTTTACCAAAATGACGCACTTGCCGATGTTGACTCTGAGACGATGTTTGCGGACCTCCTCCAACAGGGCAGCTATAAGTGCATGGATGGCCTTGAGGTCCTTCTCAGAACGAATAGTCCTATGAAGCGTCAGGTCATCGGCGTAGCCCGTCAAAAACTTCAGAACCTGTTCAGCACCGAACAGATCCACCAGAGACCGGAAGAGGTCACCTGTGAGGAACGAGAATAGGGTGGGAGCGAGCTTACATCCTTGTTTAATGCCTGCTGTGGTTTCGATAGAAGTGGAATCGCCTTGGGCATGTAAGACATATCTGGATCCGTCATGGAGAGCTTGAACGAGGTGGACTGTGTCCTGATCGGCCCCCTCACGCTGAAGGAGACCGATAATTTCTTGGCGAGAGACTGTGTCAAACGCCTGGCTTAGGTCTAAAGCAAAGGTCAGACCGCCTACTAGAGATGGCTCCTGTGTGCCTTGCTGTATAGCATGTCTCGTAGGATGAGCCTGCTCCAACAAAGACCGAGCCTCCCGCAGATGGCACACGACTCGTTCCAGCGCATCTGAAAGCCCACGACCAGGAAGGTAGGCAAACTGTGGCATGTGTTTCAGGAACGAGAGGGTCAGGGGTTGTAGCGCCTCTCTGGCCGCTCCAGCCAGTCCTTTAGCATCCGGTCTCAAAATGCCCAAAGAACGCAAGTTTGCTGGCTTGTCCGAAGGCTTGCCCGGTTTGGGGATTAGACAAAGATCGGCGTCGATGAGATCAGATTCTAGTCCATCCTCTACTTGTTTAGCAGCCACATGTCGGGAAAGGACCGGTGCAATGACGTCACTGCAAAGTCTCCAAATGGCAGCAGGTGCAGCTCCGTCAGGCACAGCTTTATTAGGCTTGATGGAATGAATGTGAGCGGCTAATTTGGATGACTCCAAAACCGGAAAGGCTCCAGTCATCGGCCTCAGCAGGCGGTGAGCCGCGAAAACCTGGTTCGCGTACTCCCTGAGTGCCGCAAGCTCCTGCGCTGGGCCTAGAAGATGTCCTGTGCTGTCCTTGAGCTGAGCCCGACGCGCCGGCTGCCAAGGCTGCAGCTTTTTAAGGGTTTGAAACGAAATATGTTGGTCGCCCTCCGCTATGCTGGCGTCAACTTCAGCTATGAAACCCGCTATTCTGTCCTTTTTTGCTTGCTTCACAGCTTGTCTGTGCGCAACTTGCGCCAGCTCCACCTCAGTTTCCGGTTGAGGGAGTGTGTTCAACCCAGGAGGCTGTGCCATTGGTTGATGAGGCTCGATCAGCTGTGCTGAGGGAGCTGTGTTGTCTGCCCTGCAAAGGGTCCTGGCCCTCCACATACGTCGAGTCTCGGATTCAAGCGGGATCAGTCGTCTTTTGGGGAGTTTGGGGAAGAAACGTTCTGCACCCTCCAGCAGCAGTGCATTCCAATCTGAAGGGTCCTGACAGGACTCCATTCTGGATGCTACCCAACTATGCAGTGCCTTGGCTGTGTCGTCCTCCTCACGGACTGCGGCCTGAAGAGCTAGGGAATCATAACGGCGTGTGCTTCCCTTGTGCGGTGGGAGTAACCAGTGGTGCTGGAGGGGGATTTCGGCCTTAATTGGGTAGTGCCCTCCCTTCTTCCAGCTACCCAACGGGCAGTCCGTCCAAGGGGCAGACCTTTTGGCCTTGCCTCCTGCAGTGGATTCCTTAGTAAGGACAAAATCGATTTGCGACTCCACGCCACCTTGAGCAAAGGTGGCAATGTTGTCACAGTGCCAGGTATTAAGGGCCACCAATCGCAACCTTAGCAGCAGATTGGACAAGTGGGATTCGTCAGGACGATCCTCCGTGGGCTGCTTCACGTGTGTACCCACCAATGGAGGACACGAGCGCAGGGAGGTATTAAAGTCGCCTGCCACGACTAGAGAATCCCGCTTGGGCACCTGCTTGACCACCTTAGACATGACTGATAGTACATGAGCACGGTCGTCCTTGTTAGACTGGATGGACTTGGCCGAGGACCAAGCATGTTGATACACAGCCACAATGACCAGCCTAGTACCTGCCATGTCTGCACGAGCTTCAAGGACCCTGCCTGGACTCCACTCCTTCCAGCGAAGGCTCTTGGCTGCAAACTTGGGTGAGAAGAGAATCATGACGCCATCCGCCCGGGTCGTGGATGGAGCCGCTTTCGGTTCCTGCCTAGTCTTGCGCTTCGCGCCCTGCTTCTGCTGGGTGCTACGTTTGGCAGACTCCGAGGCCGAAGAGATGCAATGCCAACCTGAAACACTGAACTCGCTAGTCTCCGTCCGTCTCCTGCAGGATAAGGACGTCGCAGTGGTGGGAGGCTTCAGCCGCCAGCCACGTTTTTAGTTCTCCCCATTGCTGTTGACCTAGGTGCCCCGCGTTCCAAGAGACTACCCGAATGGATCTTTCTAGTCGTCCTGCCCTGCGGGAGGCTGTGCCATATGCAGGGGAGCCGTCAGTCTGTGACTGTAGCTCTCTTCTAGTGGGTGGGGGTCGCACCCCCAGCTGGTTGACCAGAGTGGGTGTCAGGACCTGCCCGCGGTATGGCACGGGCCCGTCACTTCGTATGGTCCGTCTACATGCTGTCTTGAACGAATTCTTGCGAAGAGATGCAAAGTTTTGTGAGTGCACTGGTAGTTGCGCCATCCGCTACTTTCGTTAAGAGACAGAAGCCTAATGACTCCCTCCACTGCGCGGAAGTGGAAACCCTACCGCCTACCCAGTGTTGCAATGTTTTAAACAGAGTCTGGGCCCAGGAATTGGGACCTGGCGGCTCAAAGCAGCTCCTGCGAGAAAAGGGAGAGGACCATGGCGTAGAGAGGAGGCGCAAACCTTTACTGTTCAGGGAAGGGCCCAGTAGGAGCCTCTAGCACAGCAGTTGCGCCCCAAGCCTGTTCGAAACCTCTCATCCAGCGCGGCCGCTTGAGCACTTGTGGCGGCTACTACTACCACTACTGCTACTACTACAACTACTACTACTACTACCACTACTACCACTTCGTACGACTGCCGCCACGACAACTGCCACCACCACCACCACAACCACCACAACCACGCCACTACCGATACCACCACCAGGACCGCGTCGCCGCTGAAGGTGTCCGGAAGCTATCCCTCCCCTGCATGCAAGGCAATAGTGAACTTCTGTGAAATTAGCTGAGCAGGACAACAACCCCGTAAAGGTTTGTGAGAATGAAAAAACGAAAACATGTAAAATTAGGACAGTGATTCAAGAAACACCGCATTCAACTCTCGCGGCCATCATCTCGTCATCTTCCGGTGGAGCTGCTGCCGGTGGCAGGTCCTGACGTAAGGACGTGAAGCTTTTAGTGATCGAGGTCCCTGGGATATGCTGCAGGGTATGTCGGCTGGACCTACAGGACGCTGATCACCCCAACCGCTGTAATGCCGTATTTTCCCACGTCGAAGCTCCACATGGTGCGTGGTGAGAGAAAGCAAAGGATGCCGGAAACGACGGGCTTGCGCCGGGCAAGCTTTTTGCACAGCCTCAACACAAACCCCACAAAAGCCGCTAGTCTATGGTGCCCCCAAGTCCTGACTCCAGCATGCTCCGTCTAAAGCATCTGACAACCCCAAGAGCCTTGACCGATGCCAAAGCTCTGGGAGTCACGAGGAAAACTGCTCAGAACACCTGTGGGCACCCGCCCGAGGAGCCTCGTGCTCGAAGTCCGTGTACACCAAGGCGCCCGGCAAGGGAGGGCCAAGATGATAGGGACCCGAGTCTCCTGCATCTCCACTTCAACAACTTGCAGCAACACTGCACTCCCTACTGCGTGTTAGAATGCAGAGCCTCGGTCGTCGACGGGGGGCCAATGGTGTAGGAGCACGAGCATGCAAAACGTGAACCACCAAACACGAAACTATGGCTTCCAACTATGCCTATGGGTGCAACAACTTAGCGATTAGGCGGGGTTGTTGGAGCACCTGTCTCTCCCTCTCCACCCAAGCATCCTCCCGCCGAGGCGACGTCTCTGGAAGTGGGCCGCTGCCACCGCCTTCCGGACATGAAGGGGCGCTGCGCTTCGGGCATTGGGCAGCCGGCCTCTTGTGTCAGCTCGCTCAAAGACAGCAGGAGTCTGTTGCCATGCTTTACATAGCCATAGCAGCATCTGCACAGGTCAGAGGCTGGGCTTGAAGCTGAAAGCAGGGATTGTGCCCGTATAATCCCGATGTCGTGAGTCGTTTCCTAAGAGCTTTAGCCCCTGCATCCTGCAACCCAACCTCCTGACTGTCAAGGCATCCGGCTGTGGCTGTGGCTCCGTAGCTGTCGTTAGCTCCGGCAGTAGCACCTCTCATATGTAATCAACAGTTCTAGTTCTCGCTTCAACTCGTCTGCTTTGTAACCAATCAGGCCCTGGGTTTCTGTGTCCACTAGTATTCGTACTGGTACTAGTACCACTACTACTACGACTACTACTACTACTACTACTACTACTACTGCTGCTGCTACTACTACTTTACTACTTTACTACTACTACTACTACTACTACTACTACTACTACTACTACTACTACTACTACTACTACTACTACTACTACTACTACTACTACTACTACTACTACTACTACTCCTACGACGACGACGACGACGACGACGCTGGTAGGCCACTCCACTGATCTCAATAATAGTAGAATACTACCAATGGTAGTAAATACTACCAGTACCCCGAACATTGCTGTAGTGCTAACACTACTACGACAACTACTAGGAAGGCGCCGTCCACGACTGCTGCTACTCCTTTTCGAATATCAGTATGGTCCTATTTAGGATCACGGGATTCAGATTAGCCGTAGAATGCTGCTAGGCAACAAGATAATGCTGTGAAGTTCTTACTTCGAACTTGCAGTAGCAACGGCCCCACCACTCCGGCTGCAGCCCCTGAAGAGTTGAAAACCCAATGCTTGCAAACAAGTTGGTTGGGAACCTCCGGGAGTAATAACTCAATCAACATCTTCCATCCTGAAACCGGGAGCCTGCTCCCACATCCTAAGTCCCAACTCTACACTCGAGTCTCTGAACTCCAGCAAACCCTGAGCACCTCAGCTGGCGCCAGAGGTTCGAAAACGTCCTGCTGCATAGCTCAAAACAAATCGAGCAGACTGCTGGATGCAAGAATTGTTGGAACTCTTGCAGCCTGAGTCTGAAACCCCGAACTTCTGACGCTGATGCGCTTCATGATTCTTGTCGCTGGCCGTGACGACTGAAGGTTTTTCTACATACAGAGGCTAAAGAAACATGATCCGCTGCCGCAGAACCGCGAAACGCTTCCGCATCGCATCTGCGCGAAAAGGTGCTTCTGCGGGTCTATTGGAACCACACGCTTCGACAGAACCCGTCCGCAGTGAATTGTCACTACGCTGCATTAGTTTTCCTGCCACGCATCAGGTTGTGGGTAAGGCCTGTTCTAGACGACTGGCTGAACGAAGCGACAGGCTTTTGACTGGATGGGCAATTTAGGAAAGTTCTAACCACCCTGCTCTCAACCTATGTAGAAAATGGTATACCCCCGCATACCCCCGCCAAGTCTTGGCGATGGAGCATGTGGTGTCCGGCCTCCACGCCCGGTGTCGAACTCGGGTCACCGAAATCCAAGCAGTTTGCCATCTCGAAGCAACGGCAACAAGATGCAAGAAGTGCCTTGGACTAAAGAAGCCGTCTGTTTCGCATGTCGATGGTGCTGGTCTTTCATGCTAGAATCTACAAGGCTGCGTGCCATGCGTTCTCTGCTTGCCCCTCAGACAATCTCCAGTCTTAAATCACGAGCTCATGAACTATGAGCTGCACATCAGAAGGAAGCGAGCGGCGTAATGCAGCAGTCCTAGTTCATAGACCAGCTGGAAGTTCCTGCAGGCTATCGTAGTCGCATGCAGCCTGTTGCACCGGTCTGAGTGGGCTCAAAGCCGATGTTCGGATGTGAAACTTGTGAGGGACACCAGGTATCGCAGCATTTTCGACTTCGAAGCACGCCTTTGCGTCTTCGAAGGCAGAAGAATTGAACACCTGACGATGTAAGCTGTAAGTCCGTAAGTCTTGTCGGAATGCAGCGCAGCAGATGCAGCAGCAGCAGCAGCAGCAGCAGCAAGCACTACGCGGTCTTGCAGATCCCCCTCACAGCGACGGCATTCGTATCCACAGACATCACGAAGCCACATACCTGATCCGAACTTCATTGCAGAGCATAAACTCCGGTACCTCCGATGTTGGCAGAAGGCATGGGAGCAAACTGCAGTCCAAAATCTAAAGATGCCATCCCTTCGCCCGAAGCCTCCAGTACCAGGCAAAGCGAAATTCAAGACCACTAGCTCTGCACCAATGTTGTGGCTCCGACAAGTAAGCCCTGTCGTATAGCCGTCGCTTCGGCACCCAACTGCAAAGACAAAGACAACTACCCACCGTCAGCAAACCCTGAAACATCAGCTCTTGAGAAGCTAAATTGAATATCCAGCCAGCGAATTTCAGGGCCAGGCGGGGTCGGAGAGATCCGCTCGCGTGAGCGGTAGCCATCGGGGGCCAAGCAACCCACTGAGGTCGACGCTTTCCTGCAGGCTTTTGTAGTTCACTATCCTTCCAACCTCTATGGCATGCAATTCGGAGTTGGGGCTTTTCGGAGCGTGATGGCTTCGCTTGTGGCCACGCGGCCTTACATTCAATATTTTGCCACCCGCGTCTGCGATCTTGGAGCACGCGACTTGGAAGCTGGGCAGCTTACGGGGTAAGGTGAGGGTAGGGCTGGCCCAAGCCAACCTACCCAGCATGCTGAAAACCAGAAGATTAAGACAAGCATCAGCATGGACTTTGCCGTGGAAGTCAAGGGTGGAGACCTCCAATTGGAGCCAAGAAGTGCTTAGATCTGAACCCGGTGCTACGAGGTGATACCGTGCATGTCGTGACAAACGCTCCAACTCCTCCGTTAAGAACCGGCTGTGAACAGGCAACCCATGGGGCGTCAAGACCCGAGGCCCCACAACCGAATTCCCCAACAACCAAGCGCTTAAGTCCTGCAGGCCCAGATCCCTGCCAGCCCGCCTCATGATCATGTTTGAAGGGCACACGAGGCGTGCATTCCGCTGGACACTGATCGGTGGCCTTAATGCCCGCGAAGAAGCCCCAAACACTTATGGCGTCTGGTTACAACTCAAAAAGTCAGTTGAAACCCAAACTTCAAGAACCACCAGCGCATCAGTTAAAATACTCCAAAGGATACTACCAGGGCTTAGTACCTAGTATCTAGTACTAGCATAGTGAAAGTCAGGAGCCAGCGGATTGCAAATAATAGCCGGTAGTTAGTGGTTAGTTGGGTACTGAATAGTTAGTAGCTAGTTGATAGTTAGCAGTTAGTAGCTAGTATGTCGTTAGACTACTGCGATGTAGCAGAGGTAGCAGGTAGTCAGAAGTAATTGCACGTGGTTAGTTCGGGAATAGTAGTTGCAAGAAGTAGGCAAGTAGAAGTATTTAGCAAATAGTAAGTGACACACGAGGAACAAGGTAGTCGGCACTGGGTGCGAGGTACCAATTACCAGGTACTCGGTAGTGGGTTGCAGGCAGCGGCACGCAGGACGTAGGTCGTAGTTCGGAGATCGTAAGTCGCAGGTAGAAGAGAAGGCAAGCAGAAGGTCGTAGTTTCTGCAGCAGTAGTAGCAGTAGTAGCAGAGTAGTAGTACAAGTACTTGTACAACTACAAGTACTTGCTCGTTTACTCGTAGTGCGCACACTATTGGAAGTACCAGTAGTCCACTAGGACTAGGAGTACAAGTAGGAGTAGAAGCATCAGCAGTGGTACTGTAGCAGCAGCAGGAGTAGTAGTAGTAGTAGTAGTAGCAGCTGTAGCAGCAGCAGCAGCAGCAGCAGTAGCAGCAGCAGCAGCAGTAGCGGTTCTGTAAGAGCAAGCAGGGCAGCTGAGCAAAAGTAGTATGATGAGGATGAACATGACGTTCTTGACGATGATGTTCATGACGATGATGCAGATGACGACCGGACACGTCTCAACACCCGCCAGCCTTAGAACCTCCAGCACCGATCTCCAAAACCCGAACAGCCGTAGCAGTGGTAGTAGTAGTAGTAGTAGTAGTAGTAGCAGGAGTAGTAGTAGTAGTAGTAGTAGTAGTAGTAGTAGTAGTATAGCAGGAGTAGTAGTAGTAGTAGTAGTAGTCTAGTAGTAGTAGTAGTAGTAGTAGTAGTAGTAGTAGTAGTAGTAGTAGTAGTAGTAGTAGTAGTAGTAGTAGTAGTAGTAGTAGTAGTAGTATGTCGTAGTATGTCGTAGTATGTCGTAGTATGTAGTAGTATGCAGTAGTATGTAGCAGTATGTAGCAGTATGTAATAGTATGTAGTACGAGTAGTTACGACGAGTAGTGGTAGTAGTAGTAGTAGTAGTAGTACTAGTAGTAGTAGTAGTAGTAGTAGTAGTAGTAGTAGTAGTAGTAGTAGTAGTAGTAGTAGTACGAGTACGAGTACTAGTAGAGTAGTACGAGTACGAGTAGTAGTAGTAGTAGTAGTAGTAGTAGTAGTAGTAGTAGTAGTAGTAGTAGTGGTAGTAGTAGTAGTAGTAGTAGTAGTAGTAGTAGTAGTGGTAGTAGTAGTCGTAGTAGTAGTAGTAGGAGTAGTAGTAGTAGTAGTAGTAGTAGCCGCCACAAGTGCTCAAGCGGCCGTGCTGGTTGAGAGGTTTCGAACAGGCTTGGGGCGCAACTGCTGTGCTAGAGGCTCTAACTGGGCCCCCTTCTGAACAGTAAAGGTTTGCACCTCCTTCTACGCCATGGTCCTCTCCCTTTTCTCGCAGGAGCTGCTTTGAGCCGCCAGGTCCCAATTCCTGGGCCCAGACTCTGTTTAAAACATTGCAACGCTGGGTAGGCGGTAGGGTTTCCACTTCCGCGCAGTGGAGGGAGTCATTAGGCTTCTGTCTCTTGACGAAAGCAGCGGATGGCGCAATTGCCAGTGCACTCACAAAACTTTGCATCTCTTCGCAAGAATTCGTTCAAGACAGCATGTAGACGGACAATACGAAGTGACGGGCCCGTACCATACCGCGGGCAGGTTCTGACACCTACCCTAGTCAACCGGCTAGGGGTTCGGCCTCCACCCACTAGAAGAGAGCTACAGTCACAGACTGACGGCTCCCCTGCATATGGCACAGCCTCCCGCAGGGCAGGACGACTAGAAAGATCCATTCGGGTAGTCTCTTGGAACGCGGGGCACCTAGGTCAACAGCAATGGGGAGAACTAAAAACGTGGCTGGCGGCTGAAGCCTCCCACCACTGCGACGTCCTTATCCTGCAGGAGACGCACTGGACGGAGACTAGCGAGTTCAGTGTTTCAGGTTGGCATTGCATCTCTTCGGCCTCGGAGTCTGCCAAACGTAGCACCCAGCAGAAGCAGGGCGCGAAGCGCAAGACTAGGCAGGAACCGAAAGCGGCTCCATCCACGACCCGGGCGGATGGCGTCATGATTCTCTTCTCACCCAAGTTTGCAGCCAAGAGCCTTCACTGGAAGGAGTGGAGTCCAGGCAGGGTCCTTGAAGTTCGCGCAGACATAGCAGGCACTAGGCTGGTCATTGTTGCTGTTTATCAACATGCTTGGTCTTCGGCCAAATCCATACAGTCTAATAAAGACGACCGCGCTCAAGTTCTGTCAGTCATGTCTAAGGTTGTCAAGCAGGTGCCCAAGCGGGACTCTCTAGTTGTGGCAGGCGACTTTAATACCTCCCTGCGCTCGTGTCCACCATTGGTGGGTACAAATGTGAAGCCGCCCACGGAGGACCGTCCTAACGAGTCCCACTTGTCCAATCTGCTGCTAAGGTTGCGCTTGGTGGCCCTTAATACCTGGCACGGTGATCACATCGCCACCTTTGCCCAAGGTGGAGTGGAGTCGCAAATCGATTTCGTCCTTACCAAGGAATCCACTGCAGGAGGCAAGGCCAAACGGGCTGCCCCTTGGACGGACTGCCCGCTGGGCAGCTGGAAGAAGGGACATTCCCCTCCAGCACCACTGGCTACTTCCACCTCACAAGGGAAGCACAGGCCGTTACGACTCCCTAGCTCTTCAGGCCTCAGTCCGCGAGGAGGACGATACAGCCAAGGCACTGCACAGTTGGGTAGCATCCAGAATAGAGTCCTGTCAGGACGCTTCGGATTGGAATGCACTGCTGTTGGAGGGAGCAGAACGCTTCTTCCCCAAAATCCCCAAAAGACGTATGATCCCGCTTGAATCCGAGAAACGACGAATGTGGAGGGCCAAGACCCCTTGCAGGGTAGACCACACAGCTCCCTCAGCACAGCTGATCGAGCCTCATCAACCAATGGCACAGCCTCCTGGGCTCAGCTCAAGGACAACACAGGACATCTCCTAGGCCCAGCGCAAGAGCTTGCGCCACTCAGAGAGTATGCGAACCAAGTTTTCGCGGCTCACCCCCCGCTGAGGCCTATGTCTGGAGCGTTTCCGGTTTTGGAGCCACCCAAATTAGCTGCTCACATTCATTCAATCAAGCCCAATAAGGCTGTGCCTGACGGAGCAGCGCCCGCGGCCATTTGGAGACTCTGCAGCGACGTCATTGCACCAGTTCTCTCCGGACATGTTGCATCCAAGCAGGTCGAGGACGGACTAGAGTCCGATCT